ACAGGGCAAGGCAAGGTGGGATGTCTAGCTGACTGTTGGCCTGCGACAAATGGCTTGTGGAGATTTCTTCGATGTTGGCTTCATTGGCTAAACAGTGAGAACCGAAGGCCGATAAATCACCAAGTAGATTATGTTCACTCATTCTGCCTAAGACAGAGACGGGCCAAGCCAGGGAAGAATTAGACGAGGATATGCAAGACTCGTCTCATGATCTTTTCTCCGACGTTCGAATAGACTTCTATAGATAAGAATGTCTCCGTATATGAGTCTGCGAATGTATGCGAGCTAAGTACGTGCGAGGAACATGCTTGCCAGCTCATATGAATGTCTAAGACGTAACTTTTGAAACATTTTCTAGCCCAAAGTGAATGAATCGGAGGTAATGGAAGAGGTTCCAGGGAGCGAGGTACATTCTTCTCGTGTGAAGCATACTTGGCCTGTCGACAAGAGTATTTTTTTGGTGTATATAGTATACACTGAAGCAATGCTTATTGGCAATACCAAATACGGGACTATAAACATTGACTTCATCTAGGGTTATGGACACGTCAAATCTCCAGATGTAATTCTCGCTAATTCTGGATAAAATATGACTATTTACATACCAATGCCGATCATATGCAGTACCGGTCACGCGTATTTCTAAGCTTTGAATTACGTCAAAAAAAAGTTCAAATACATTACCTGTAAGAGTGTATGCTAGGTTTAATGAAGCATAATTAAAAATTCGACTCCGGCATCTTTTTGAGGTTCCTTGCAGTGTCAAGTACGTGTATATGCCACGCCCCAGTTTAAATGGGATATAACACGCTAAACGCGTCTGAGGACACTCTCTAGGCTATTTTAGAGCGTTTAACTAGCGGCCAGTTTAACAGAGATTGTCTCGGATAGGACCTTACACTCGTGTTTCTTTCCCTATTACTATTATTACAGTGCCAATTACTAGGCAATCGAATCTACCCTATCCTATGATTAGTTCTATGATAGCAAACAGCCATGCCGTATAGTCATATGAAAAAAAATTGGCCTCGTTAGCTAGGTTACCAGCAACGCTTCTTCAACTTTGATCATCCGTACATTTTCGGTTTAAAGTAAGTAAACTGAACATTTACGTATAGTAGGCTTTGCTTGAAAGTAAGTTCAGAAACGGCGGATGCATCCGCTCAAAAAAGCCTGCTCAGTTGATTTCTTTATAGCCATCTTCGAAGATCCTGAATCGTCAAAATACTTAGAGAAAGCTTCAGAGACACTTACAAATAGAGACGACGACAACAACTAATTATACAAATAGAGCTTTCAAGTGAATTTTGATGAAGCGATCTATTTTTCCGTATTATACAAGCCGTATTATACAGGCTGTTGAATTCAACCGTATCACAGGTTAAGCCACTTCATGGGAACAGCCGAAAGAAACGTTTGTAAGTATTGACAAAGCAAATAACCACTCTACTATATAACGCGCAGGACCGCAGCTGAAAGCAACGAATCGGTTCGAGTTTATATGTAGGTATTTGAAAAAAATACCCCGAGGAATCCCTTCGTAGTGAAAACTGTGAAGCTTCAGGTACAACGTATCGTCTACCTACGATGGAAAACTCTGTTGTTATATGAATGACTGTATACGTCTGCTTGTTGAACGCTTGCAAAAAACACCATGCATGCTGAAAGCCGAGCTCTTTAGGAATCGCGTAATTTTACCAAACATTGGTAGCTTGAATAGCCCATAGACTGAGTAGAAAGAAACACAACTTATTGTCGTGTCCAACCACTTTGCCCGGCACTGAGAAGGATGCAGTCACAGCGACCAGGTTCTATATACAACTGTTATGGATAATGTGTAGGCGATAAGAAATGGTGTCGCGGAAAAAAATCGTTTAGAGGATAGCTTTAGGCTCACAGTTAAGGCAGATCTCCATCCGAAAAACATAGGTTTAACGGGACCGGAAATGTCTTATGTGTTTGGAAATGCTTGACAAAAATTAAGCTAGCATAATATTAGCAAAGAATACTGATAGGATTTTAGTATGTACATCCCGAAAGCTCCTTTAACAGGTGCATCTAAATTAGCATCGTTAATAGATTCAACGGCTTTCAGATAACCCGAACAGTAACATAAACGGGCAAAAAATGCTTTTTACTACTAGGGCTCTTGTGTAAGATCGTTGGATGGATGTTTAACCAATATACATAGATATGGTTCCTTACGTATAAGCGAAAACCGTACCGCTATACAGTCAGTCGTCAATTCAGTTTGACCCGAAACATTTTGTTAGTATATGATACACAGGTACCTGGCATGGGGCAATCAAGCACTATCTAAGCTTGATTTAAATTATAAAGTGAAAGGGCCCCGAGTCAACGTTCTGGTGTACTGGAAAACTATCTTTTTTAACTTTGTATAACCCACTCTGTATATGTACGTCGCAGCGTCTAGGTCAGCTAAATCAACTCAAGCCACATTCAGATGCTAATTGAAATTTACCTGCTTGGTCGTTGTACAAGTTTTGAGCAGGTCTTCGTCAATCAACCTCATATAGTTTTTTTTTCTAAGTTATTCGTAAAATCATCCTAGTATAGCTTTAGAGAGCGACATATCAAAATTGCTTTGTTACATGGGAGAGAAGGAGTTAGTCGTTTAATTTGTACATTAAACTTCTAAGCGTTCATTGACCTTATAGCAGGTTAGCGATTAAGCATTTTGTAGGATGTCCCGAAGCTCTCCGTAAGTGGGCCGCTATCCTGGCGATAGGTCGAGGTTTGGAACTGACAAGGGCAAAAGTTAAATATAAGATCAATTTTGAGTTCGATTAGGCATTATCGTTTGGCGCATTTTATAAGCAACAGGGACGAGTCCGCGAAAAATGTTAATTCGAAACCTTCTAGAAAAACTCGCGCGAGGTGTTGTTTCGTTCGATGGTTCTTCCAGTTATTCGGGCATGTTTACAGATGTTCTACGTACGTCAGAGGAAAAAAAACACTGTTAATTTCTTTGTTTGGCCAATAGAACCGTGCTATTCCATTGGTAACGTCGGGCGGACGCCGTTCGATTGAATGTGATTTGTCTAATCGCAACGGTCTGTAAATAGATACGTTCATTAGGGTATGCCAACGTCAAGTGGGTCAACATGTGGCGCTTATTAATCTTTCTTCTTCCGGAGCAATGGTTTCCTTTCTGACTATATCCTTGCGTGGCAATTAATTGTAACAGCTTCAATAGGATCTATCGTTGGCTATGCTAATGTTTTTTTCTATTTTTAGTATAATAATAAATCATGGAGAAACTATTAGAGATGAAAAGTGAGCTAGAACTACAGCTACCGGTTATTGAGGCGCTCCTATCGTAGACATGATCAGAATGCGGCACTAAAAAGAAAAGCCTAAGTTGTCTTCCTAAGCAACTTCGACTCAGGATTGTCGCAAAACGCCCTTAAATCTATTCCCCATTCAATTAGGACACTTGGACAAGAAAGGATAGCAAATAATATGAGACAACGATCAATTGCTCTATACTTAAACTTACTTACAACTTTCTGTAAATATTTATATACCTAGAGGATCGTACTTGACGTTACATAAGGAGCATTTGCCACTCGATCTGTAATATACATACGAATAGCTGGACACGATAATTCGTGGTACTCTACCTTTGCCAGTAGGTACGTTGTAATCGTTCAAGTTACATTTAACTACAGGGCTCAGTTAGAAGACGAGACCGTAAAGTTATCGAAAGGAATACGACTAACGCAATTGCAATTTTTCATAGTGTTAATAGCGGCAGATATGTAATAACGATTTAGCGTCTTTTTTTTTTTGTTAGTCGTTCGTAATGTTAATAAATATAGAAAATTTGATTTCTACACAACTGCACATGTCTAAATTGTCAAGAAGCACACTGTCAGCTAGAGTTAACTACATACTATCAGGAAACTGTGAATAAATGAAAACAAATAAATAAATAAATGAAAATAAATGAGAAATAGATGAAAACCTATGTGGTGTATATTAGTGGAATTCTAAATCTGTCTGAAAGTTGTTTTCGAAGTTGTTGAAAAAGTAAATCTACCACGAACTAATGAATTTTTTGTAAACTATTCCTAAGACCAGCTGGCTGCGCATTTGTCGACGAATTTTCATATATAGCTATCTGCCAATTATTTAGGTGGAGACGCGGATCATTAGACAGCAGCATTCACTGCATAACCTCGCCTGAAGGACCAAAAGTTTTGCCTTTGATATGAGTATTATATAGGCAATACTCAGCAACGACGGTCTTCACGTACCTGTATAGACCGCGATACATGCGAACGTGCCAACCCCATGTACTTGCATACCGATAGCCGTAGAGAAGTAATTTCAGGTTAGATTTTATACTTAATTTAGGCCCACTTCTATACATAACTCGCATTTAGATCGCCTAAATTTAGGTCGACTTAAGACCAAGGTCAAGCAGTCTACGAAGATTATAGGCTTTGGGCATATTCAAGAAATATTAACTGAAGAGAAAATATTTGTTAATATAGAACAAACGAAAATACGATAATTTTAGATATTTGTTGGGTACAAATTGGCTAGTGACCTGACGTTTTTGTGTTCTAATTTGTACCTGCCGTAAACTGCTATCGGTGGAACACATGCAGTCTGAAGTATTTCTAAGGTATATTTTTTTTATCTGAAATATACATCCATAGCACTCTTGTGACGAGCTATAATCTTTTCATAGGATCCCCATAATGGATCATAGAGAGATAAAATACCTTATTTCACCAAATCTTCAGGTATTTTCACTAATAGCATGACGTCGGCTCGAAAATGCTCTAGAAACTTGTTGTTTTAACGAGATTAAATTTTAACCCATTTCACAAGATAGAGACTTAAAGCAGAAAATCCGAGTTTCTATATATATCTACAAAATAGATAAAGTTTATATCTACAAGAAGCTAAATATAGCAGCAATAGAATAGAATGCCTATATACTAGTTTTTCTAACAAATTGATTTATTTAGCCCAAATGGTAACAACATTTATATCTCCTAAACTTTCTCGTAGTGTTTTTCTATTTGCTCTATTCGAACTGTACATTTGTTTACATCGGTCTATACACATCAATTGTACATTGCGCTATTTAGTTTACTAAGACTCTTCAATACAGACCTCATTGTCTTTTTCCTTATAATACATCATATTGTGCCTAACCCCAGCAGCCGCTGTGCTCATATTGGTTATTGGCAGGTCTTTAAACACAGAGTTTCGCACAGAAAAAAATCTCAATGTCTTACGTAAATTTGACACATAATGAACCAGCAACCTCCGCCCGGAAAAGAATGTTTCACTCCCGCGCGCTCTGCCCTCATTTATATGACATCTACATCTGATATAGATTTCACTCGTCCCCGATTTCCCTGTCGGCACTAGCTGATAGCAGATGCATGGTTATCGTTAATGCTGCCCTGTCATTTTAAGCGCTCCAAAGGGTAGAGCTGTATTGTCTCTGATTACCCCGATATTTTGCATTGACATTGTTCCTTAGAAAAGCATCCCTGGATCTCTTTCTCTGTCGGTATTTCTTTGTTTTAAACAAGTTTTACTTTACCATGTCTTTCTTACACACATTCCGACCGCGCTTGCCTTCCCCGCCCGATCCCCCTTCATTCCCTACAGAATCCTTTCATAAGCGAAGTCAACCGGTCGTTCTATGCCAAATCCACAGCCAGCTTCCTTCAATGGCCTACTGTTTACCAGGGCAAAAGGGCTGTTCTCTTGTAGTAGTTTTTTTTTTCTAGTACAGCCGCGCTGGAAATGTAAATTAGTGGCCCAGCTTGTTGGTCCAGGCAGTATTTGGCGAAGGACTGCTCCGCGTTAGCGTCGCTGTAGAGAAAGTGTTCAGAGATGTGTGCGAGTGATAGGGTCGCGTTGGTGGCACTTGCTGCGCTTGTAATTGTTGTTGCTGAGCTTGGGGTGGACGCTGCGGCTGCTCGTGACGCTGAGGTGACTGATTTCTTCGACGTTGCAAAGTATCTCTAAAGACACTACCAGTTGAACTCATCGGCAAAGGGTTCGTATCAAACGGCCCGAACCCAGTCACCCCGCCTGTGAGCATTGTCTGTGCCTCAGTCTGGGGAGCAATTGGTAAGGGTTGTTGTTCAAGGATGAGCGAGTGACCCAGCATCATTGGACCACCTAGAAGAAGTATAAATAAACAACTACATATGGATTACGTTTTATTCGTTAATTAATAACCGTGTCAAAACTATAATTTCCATATGATTCTATTGAAACAACTGTGTGCTCTTTCGTAAAGCTCGACATCATTCCGTGCGTGCGTGTGATATTTCAAGATCAGGGAGACTGGGAGGGTGGTCAGGTTTATTGACCGAACTTAGCAGAGTCTATGGCTATAGCTTGTTAGGTGCAAACGAATTTCGCACATGCTTCTGTATGTGCAAAGCAATTATGTTTAGAATGCATTTACCATTTAAAATGCCGAAAGCATTCATCGTTAAGTACTTATTTCGAAAATTCGCCCGCAGGGGCACACAGTTCCTGCACCTTTTCGTAAGTTTTTCTAATCAGTGTTATTCAAGCCGAATACGCCATGCACATTGTGGCCAGCTCAAAATAGCCCCTCTAATCTATTCTATTAGAACTTTTCCTTACCTAATTTATCCTTTTACAGTTAGTGCGGGCCATGTTTCCCCGTTGTGTCAAGATATTTATACATCTTGTTTCGGGCAAACCATTCACTTTTTACCATAGGACTCAAGATTTCGTTTATTTCTCCTCGGCAATAATATGCGAATAAACATGATCGACTCCTAATCTTATACCACACAATTTAAAAGGATCAACAACAAACATATATATACGTGAAAGAAAAAACAAATATATAAACACTTCAAAACGATCGATGTATCCAATATAATTCGTATATGACTTCACTACTTTTTGATTTTTCACACTTGCTCTCCTTACTGCGCTAGATGTAAATTACCTGCAACGTAAGAGAACTGTTGAGTAGGCCCTGTTTGGACATTTACTGGCAAGGGAGTCTCGTGCATGGTGATGTCGATATGAGACGATCCCTGGAGAACGTCTAGTCGTGGTGGGCATCCCGCCACGATCTGTCGCTCACCAGGATCAACGCCAGCGATTCCACTCGTCTCTAAGCTTTTCTGCCTTCCTCGCTGCTGTCGCCACTGCTGCTGGTGCCGTTCGAGCGGAATCCGAAGCTGCGTCATATCGAATGAGCGCATATCATCCTCTCCGCCTCCTGAGTAAACAGAACCATCATTATTTCGTATATGATAACAATGATTGGCTAGCTAGTATTCAACAATAACCTAAAAACATGGTTACTAACAGGCATTGCAAACAGATTTAGGGTGGTGGAACATAACAATAATTTCAATATTTTTTAAAACAGCTTTATTGCCCAGTTTTGAAAGGTAATCTCTCGACCTATTTTTGTTCAATGTGTGAGGGTATTTATGTCATACACTTGAGCTATCCTTATTATAGCCACTGGTAAAATCATGGGCGTCCAATAGGTTGAGGCTGATAACGGATCTGTAGACCCTCTCAACGATGAAATGCCAAAAGCCATGCTTCCATTTGAAGGCAAACAAACACCCATACAATGCTGATTAGTTGAGTATACAGAACACCGACTTGAGTAACCATTCTAGCTTCTATGTGGCGCGATGATGTACAGTTTCTACTAGCGCTATTTCGTAACTTCTGCAATTGAGCAAAGATGGCCATGGATAACCCATAAAACGCCAAGATCCCTTTCTGGTTGTGATCGTTCGAAACATAAACGTACGTCGCCATTTACCGTTGACAAAATCTTTAGCCACTCCCTGATAACCGATTCAAACTATAGTATTTGTACGTAGAAAAAACTAATCACGAAAAAACCTTCATATCTAATTGGGTCGAACTGTGTTCCTTTCTTAGTTCGAATATTGGATAAAGACAGTCCATTCAGTATCACTTTTATTCCTTTATTTAATGAGTGATTAGAAACTAGGTGATTTGTCAAACTCAAAAAGTGGACACACCTAAGATCGACGTATTTCACAATATTCAGAGCTCTGTGTGTAGCGACTTAGCAAATTTGACCTTACTGCTCAAACCGCCAGGAAGTTTGGTACCTACTACCACGGCGTGTTCGACAGCTTAATTAAAGGTATGGGATACAGTGTACAACTATACATATGCAGTTCTCTAGCTATCTTCTCGGTTTTTCATAAAGGAAGGCAATTTTCATTTACTTTATTAATATTAATTCATATCATATTAATTTGAGCAATTCCTCCCCAATAGGTCTCGTAATGTAGCACGAAATACGAGCATACGGTTTGCTCAGATTCTGGTGCTATCTTGGCCAAGAAGCCTATGCGCAAAGCGCCCTTGCCCAAGAACAATGCACTCTTTAGCTCTCTCTCACTTTCGCACTTATTCTAGTGCCCTTGTCGGGGAAAGGAAACGCGTCAAGCTGTAAAGAAGACACCATCTAACATATCATAGAGCAATAGGCGCACGAGAAATAGAAAGAAACTCGTCGAACACTAAATCGATCAGTTGTGCTTCAGTGGACAGATCCCTCCCACGCGAAAGGAATCGGGCAGTGCGACATAGAAGTGCAATAGTAGCGTCAAAAGTAATCAAGCGGATGTGCGCACAGCTACTGTTCAGGATCAGAAGTTTCCTAACACTTGGGACGAGGTTCAAGACACCACTTCCCGTCGTCTCATCTTACGTCCTACCGGAGTTGCTTCCAGGCTTTTTCTCCACAGCGGCGCCAGCTGATGCTGCATCAGTCGTTCGCTTCGACAAGCCCTGCAACCTCTCCTGCGGCCGACAGCACGACCACCTATACGGAAGAGCGCCTGAGTCGGCGACACTGGCAAGATACGGCCTAGTAGTAGGCTCGGAAATGGCCAGGCTATCGAAAGTTGAACAGAAAAGAAACACTTTGCCCGTCCCTCTTATTAAAAGTGTCCAAAGAAATGGGCGAAGAGGCGTATATAATCGAGCGCGAAGGAACGGCCAGTAGAACAGTAAAATGTTATGGAATGGTCGACGGAAGCACTGAATTGTACATCTGTAATATCATAACGCTATATATGTGCCAGTCGAGGGCGCAGGATCCCCACTGTCCTTTATTCAGCTGGCGTAGTCCTGTGTTAGAGCTCGTTCGGCAAACCGTAAGTCCATCGTAGTAGCGTGATAGCAGGAACGATGCATCGACGGGACCAGCTAGTTGGCCGAAACTAGAAAACTATTATCGACCACCTACGCAAAAGGGCTACGGATACACAAACTGCAGGTGTACGGTCCTGTAGCTTTCCATTCATATAATCCTGCCCGATATATTCAATCGAATCTTCAATTTAAGATGAACATAAAGGGCGTTTCTATTTCTTGATCATAAATCAATTCAATCAGCTTACTTCTTTTTAGCGTAGATGGGAGTAATACACGTCAGCTGACTCTGAAATGCTTAAGGCGTTAAGCAGCTATGACCATAACTCGTAGACAGGAATAAAGCGCGCAAAAATATACTTATCGAACGAATTTTTAAAAACAGAAATGTTGCATGCAATCAAATGAAGATGAGTTAATTAAATTAAATAAAAAGATCGTGAGAAATGCTCGATTGGTTTTATTCAATTCATCTAGCTTTCATGTTTACAGTTGTCGTCTATTGGCTAATCCTAATAGTATTATACACAAAAGGCTAGACGCAGCCATTTTACAGTGTTTCTAACTTTTTAAAAAGTGTTCAACCGCTTATGGACCCTTATTTGTCATATTATAGTTTAGTTAACACCGGAAGATTTTATTTAGAACGCTACGTTAGAAAATACCTTTGACGCTGCCTTTAACGCTACCGTTGATAAATTTAATCTGGAATTCTTAATTGTGAGTCACATCATTTTTCTAGCTGCATGCGACATGTAACTAGTTAACTACCTAGATACAACATTATACGTTTTTGCAGCGCTTCTGTTGCGAACGTAATGCTATATAATATATAAGTCTTGATTATTGATTGATCAGGCTAGGATTGACCGTTACCTTCATCGTGGTAGGCAATAATTGTCTCACGTATATCAGGCTGGTTAAGCTGACCGTCTTCGTTCGAATTTTTTTTTCCATTCTGGTCCTTCTGATTCGCTTTGGCCTGCTGATCAGAGGTCTTCGGGCGACGAGCTCGCAGATAGGCCACGATGATAAGTAACAGAACTGGAAGCAACAGTTGACCAAGACGATTAGAAACGGGCCAAGAACAGAGGCAAAAACATAAGAAGAAAAAATGAAGAAGAACGCGAGAAAATTAAAAGCAGACAGAAGGGAAAAAGGCAAGCCATCTAAACTACGAGTGGATCGAATCCCAGCCGCTAACTCGATAACTACCAAGTTCCCTTTGCGACCCATTCCATGCTTCATCACCATGTCCGCCCCGTCTAGCTAAGGCTATCTTGTTTTTCTCTTTCCCTTCCTCCTTTCCAGCGCTGTCCACGTCTCCTTAAGGGCTTTGTCTAAAATGCCTTGTTCTTACGGCCTCATTAACCAAGCAACTTTTCCGCTCACGAAAGTATTGACGGAAAATCTACACGAGACAGGACATGGGTTCATGGATGTTGAGAGAAAACAATCGTAGAGGGAGTCACCTATGAAAGAAGCTTTCATTGACAACGTAGCACTAGCGATGACATCGCTGCACCCAGATTTTGTAAAGAGAAAAAACGAGACGGCGGACAAGAGTGGAAAATGGGTAATCCTGTTAAACGGTAAGCTCAGAGGGGTATATGTCATGAGGTATAGAGAGAGATATATTGTCGTCTATTTAGGGACTATTGATCAATGCATTATACCTATACAGGTGTGTGCATTTCTTCCTCTATACGATGTATGAAGCATCTATATACTCGCACGTGTGAAAGTTAATACAATCGGCGGAAGTAAGTGAAATAGTAAAAAACTTACGCAAACCTAATATGTATCTGTATGCCTATTACTATCCCAACGGAATTAATAACAACCGAGCGCATGTGTTATACAATAGCTACCGTTAGAGCATTCTTAACACATGAGTTAATGAACATGAATGAGTAGGCATAACTTTGTCTAAAGCCGTAGTATCTTGCACACAGATGCGACGAGAAACAACTAGAATGTTAGGCTCCTTTAAATATGTATAATAAAAAGCATGAAGTTTTTGCCTCATATTATCTCATAGCCACTTAAACTTATTGTAACTTTCGAACAAATAAACGTAAGTAACGTTCTTCGCTCTTGTTTCTTTTTAGCGTTTCGCTCAGCCTTTTAAAAGCTGATACATCCCGTGCAGTAAAAAGACTTCGTCCCTAGAAGTGATCTTTTCGTTCACTCGTTTGCGGACTTCAGTCTTTGTTTTGAAGTGTCTACTTTGTTTGTTCTAATGCATTAACCAACACAAGTGGAAATCAGATAAAATTATGTCCAGACTGCGCGCATGGTGGGGCAGAGTACTCCTTGGAGGTCTGTAAACACTCGCTGGGTCGCTGGGTACCATTGTAATGCAACAATATCACTTTGCATCGCCCCTTTCCAGATCAAAGCCTTTTCTGTCAAGTTAGTGGCTCAGGCGGATGAGTTAATTTGCATAACGGTCTACTTTGTTTCTCTTCTGAAGTCTGAGTAGGTCATTGTACAACACTTCCTTTCCGTCACATTATATGTCAAGGCGCAGGTTTTAATCATGAATATTTCTTTGTGGCGTCCAATTTGGGGGTCTAATCTTCCTGATTTGCATTTAGGGTATTATTATATAATATTATACTATAATATTTGCATATTTATTGCATTTAGGTTATCATCGTTATCAGATTTTTTTTCTGCCGTGTGGGCAACGAAAGACGTATTTTCAGGCCATTTTTTTGGTCGTTTTCACGTAATAGTTTCGGAAATTCCAGCTGGATACGATCAATCGATCCGATGCTAGCGCCATATGCCTAATGGCATCTTTTCACTCAACGTAACAATGCAGCGTAATTAAACTAAGGTATATAGAATAACTAGATAACTTACTCTGAAATTCTGAAGCAATCATTCGAATTATAAGGTGACTAGCACAAGACGTGATGATAACCTTAAATAACGCACACTTTCAAACTAACATGAGCTATTCTATTTATTTTTCCAAATATGGCTCCGAAAAGTTTTGCGCGTTTCTAAGGGAAAATTTAACCAGTTAATTGTACTACTTTGTTAGCTCGCTGTGTAAGCAAGAATATTAATAAAAAAAACCGATGAAAGGTATTAGGTACTATTAAAACACGAGCAATATTTCACTCACCGATTAAATTGAGACTACAGACGAGTAGTGCAGAGATAGCCGCCATATTGAACTGGTCGAGCTGCTCAACGGGTACGGGTTCGCTGCATACCTCCCCGCGGAAGCGAGTCGTGCATTGGCAGAGAAAGCCTCGACCGTTCGGACGGTTAAGACAACTTCCACCGTTCAAACATGGTGACGAAATTAAGCATTCATCGAGATCGGTGCAGTTAGCGGGGCCGGACTGACGAAAACCTGGTGGACACCTGTATCGGCAAAAGACACATTAGATAATTATAAATGTAATATGTTTACCCAACATAAGAGTTGAAATGGTTCGATCTTAACAGCACAAAAAAGTACAATAACTAACGAATGGACGACCTGACATTGAAAAACATTACGATGTTTAATTACTCCAAGTATGCCTGCTACGTATGTACGCCCGTAAAGCATCTAGAAACGCTCTCGTTAGTAGTAGTATCTTGGAAGTGCTTCATGCACTTCACAAAATAGGGCCCTCCCTAAGGACCAAACGCATTTAACCCTTTCCCTATGATGTAATATTTTTTTCGCCAAATCAAAGTACCCTTTGTAGAAAAGGCGACGTTATCTTAAACACAGTACAGTCTCTCGTTGGCTCGTGTTTTGTCGGCACAAATCCCGGCACAAAACAGAAGTAACACTTATTGTACCATCGGGGTTTGTTTATGCACTGCCTGACTGCGACAATCAGCGCGAAACGCGCCAATCCTCAAACTTAACAGAATCAAGTGCCTAATCGTTAATAGTAATTTGATTTCAAAATTGTACTTAAGCTTCGCGGGTCTATAAAAAACAAATGCAACGAACGCATGCTACAATATGTCGGTAGCAGAGTTCAGCTAAAGAACCAACGATACTATAGAACAAGGCCCATTATCGGTCAACGAGAATAATGAAGGACTAGAGAACTCAAAAACATAAGCTCTACCTTAATCCTTTTTGAGAAATTAATACGAATAATTACTTTCTGACGCCGACATGAATGTTTATACACCTTGTCATTCTACCTCGTTTTCCTCACGTTTGTTTGCACTCACCTACAGACGTGGTCGTTCCAAAGGTCAATGCACATAAACGGGTTACTACAGATGACACCGTGACACGGATTCGACGAGGGACAGCCCCGAATAACGTTACGCGCTTCTAACACGAAACCTGCCGCATCCGCCAACGAGGTCACTGTTGTATCTTCTAGCGGAAGGACTCGACCTTCCAGGCGGACATCGCGCACGCATGTTGCCATCAAGTCACGCTCGACCATCATCACACCGCCCTGGTTGTAGTGCATTGTTCCGCCGACAGTGACACGGTGCCGATCGACCATAAGAAGGCGAGCGGAACAGGCAAGTTCGTTGCTGAATACGGCGTATCGTGGACCTTGACCATCGTCAAGCTGAAGCGATACGAAACAGCCGTACCTCCGGACGCGCACAGTGTGCCACTGCCCATCGTCAATAAGAGTATGCTCGAGTTGTACGCTTCTCTCCGTGTCCACCGCACCGCCTTGTCCTCCTAGGCCGGCACTTGCGCTGGCGCTGTTGTTACTGCTGCTATTGCTATCAGCAACAGCGTCCTTTGTCGGCCGGTCGAGATTGAAGCGAAACCGTAGTCTCCGCTGGGAGATCTCGAGAATAGCATACTCTCGTCCCTTTGCTGAAGCAAAACTGATGAGTTCCCCCTCGCGTTGCCGACTGCGGAACTGCATCTGGATGTCTGTGCGAAATGGATCGGGATCAAAGTTGAGTGCAAATTTGATGAACGATGCCTGCTGCAGCATACGCGATTGGGATTCACGATCGCAGTGGGAACCTTCCCATCCCGGCTGGCATATACAGATTCCGCCGCCATTGCCATCGTTACTGGTATCAATTTGATGACTGCTTCTAACTGTGAACGACGACGACGGCCTAGAATCTCTGCTTTCGCCTACCTCACAATGACCATGAATGCAGCGTGTCTGCACGCACAAGAGGTCTTCTGATGGACAACCAGTCCGGCTGTTGAGTGAGTGCACAGGGTTGTCGAGGTCGATCAGCTGTGAATTGACAACAACTTGACGAACGCACCCCGTGAAGCCACTGCTCAGGTTGGGCCTATGTCGCCATCCATGACTAGCGTAGAATTCAGTTAGAAAGGCTTTGCTGTTGGCGTTATAAGTGCCATCTCCTCGTGAAATCAGCGCTCCACCGATCTGAATAGGCTGCTTGACATTAAGCAATGAGGCCATCGGCGACGAATATGACACAGCAGCAGCTACAGCTCGCAGTGACGCGGGCAACGGAGAACTTGTAGAATCTCGCCCATGGGACGAGCCAACGCCGCTCATGAGCGACCAGGTTTCCGGAGTAGTCTGTGTTAATGTCTGATTAAGACACTTACGAAGTGACGTCCCGCCACGGTGACGATATCCTGCACCGATTGGTCTCTCTCGAGCTGCGCACATGTCCACCATCAGTTGCGCAGTCTGGCCGTTAACAAATATATCCAGCCGATGCCAGGTATCATCAGCGAGTCCCTCTTCGGTCTTTACCGTAAGTTCATATGTACCTCCACCCAGGTCTATAAGCAGACGAGGTCGCCCCTTCCACAGTTCTAGAGATAACATATCTTTCAAAGCATTACTAGACGACACTATCGTAAGCGGCCCTGTATAGAGAAGGAGCCCATCTTCTGATGACGTTTTGAACTCTATGGAGATGTGCAATTGTTCGCACGTTTCTACTGGCCGGAACCATGCAAAACCATCACCTTTGAAAGAACGTGTGGTTTGCTCACAGTTTGGGCCATTGTAGCCAGGGGGACATTCGCATGCCACCATACCCTCACCCTGTAAACACCGCCCTCGTCCGCTACAGCTGTTTCGATTACAGGTGTGCGTCTCATTCTTTGGCAGTCGTGACGTGCACTCACACGTGGCGACGTTCGTTACGTTGACGCCTACGAATGATGTCCGATTCGCGTTTATGACAATATGATCATCTGATATTAACAAATGGTTACTACAGCTGCCCTGCTCGCAGACATCCTCTGGTTCTGTAAAGGAACCACCAACCGCGTTATAGCCGCTGTTCTCTCGAAGGCATTCGTTTATACCGACCTGGCTGATGTTGAGCTGTAGCTTTCGCTCCAATAGCTGCCGATTCATTTCGACAAGACCGTTGAGCAATTCAGGCCGAACATGCTCATCCGTCAATGACCGAACGAAAAAACGCACTTCCGTTTCCACTTCTGGCGACTGGGCGTGCACAGATAATCTAGGCCCCCCGACGTTCCCACTTATTGCCAAAGCCGGCCGCTGAACCACTGAATAAATATGAACATGATTTACATCGGCCTTTACAATGTTGGCTAGCGTCTCACGAAGAGCGTCGATTCTCGCCATTTGCGTCTGCTGTGTCTCCCAATTCCAGATGCGTACGAGCTCATCAGCAGTAGTGCCTCGGAGCGCGATCGAACCGCCTTGTCGAACGTCTTCCCTCGTGATTTCGCGCACGATGACGGTAACGTTCGCGCCGACCTCTATTGAATGTTGGCGGTCGTAGACGAGGAACTTCAGAAAGTACGAGCCCGGCGTAGCATTTCGCATGACAATCTCGCCGCTACTCTGGTCGAGATTGAAGTTCGGATGAGCAACGTTATTCTCCCAGAAATAAGATTTGTCGACGGAGTCCCAATCGTCTGCATCCTCGACATGCACCCTGCCCATTGTGATCATTCCTTTAGAACCTCGTAACGTATACGCAAGAATCCGTTTTGAACCTGGATACATCCGGTTGTCATTCTTATCGCCGATAATCACTGTTAATGTACTTGCACCGGTTAGCGGCGGGGTTCCTGAAACGAATCGATTAAGAATTGAAGCCACAGTTAAAGGATGTTTCCAGTATACTTGACCTGTTTTATATAGAAATAGGAGCACAAGGATTTTTTCAACGACCAGTGCTGCCTGACCGCTAATATTACCTGAGTCCTTAATAAGGATTGGGATTGCGTAGCTTTTCTGTTGCTCTCGATCGAACGCGTGCCTTGAATACACAACCGCACTGCCATTTCCATCTGAAAATTACAATATAGAATTGATGATATACGTATATGGTAAAACACTATAACATAATAATTATAATGATATTGAAACATTCGTATTACTAAACAAATGGCGACTAACTTGTCAACCATACATGAGCTGAATTATTTGCGTCGGGCCGCACTCTAATTTTTGTATATTATTAAACAACTACAAAAATCTGTTTCTCAATATTTACATATTATTATATGAAGCTCACGTCATTGGTGACTGAAGATCTCATGGCACTTACTTGGGTTGTTATCGAGACGAAAAGCACGACGAACCTCTTCCGGAGCATTTGGGTCGATCGAGAATGCGAAGGGAGGTCCGTTCGGCCGTTCGTCGTCATCAACGGCGCGGATATCGGCCACTTTCGTTGCACTCTGGTGTTCAGGTACCACTGGACGATAGTCTTCGGCAAGGCGGGGGGCGCAGTCATTTACATCTGATAAAATTACAGTCAACGTCGCTGTCGAAGTTCGAGCCGGAATGCCGTCGTCCGTAGCCATGACGCGAACCTGTCAGCAGGAACGGACATAATATAATAGCGTATCGAGAAGATGTAGCGTTTCAAATAAACGCCAATCACTTCGGGTGTGCTTGCTAGAAGAAAATCGTCAAGACACAGCTCTAATAAGCCAGGACTTGGCACACCGGCTTATTCAACTATTTGCTACATCATTCTACAATATCACGCATGTAGTGCATACTTACATGATGTCTTGGAGATCTCTCCCTGTCAAGGGGCCTCTGCAGGGTAACTACTCCGGATGACGATCCAACCCTGAAATGCCTTCGTCGATCTGAGTCCTTTTCAATGGAATACATAACTCGGCTTCCTCCAGACGCGTCTATATCAGTAGCCCTTTAATCGAAAAGACGTATCTCCTTAGTTCGAACTTTCTAAGAGGCCTCACCGCCTCTTGCCGAAATTGTGAAGCTGAGGCGAAATCGAGGGCTGTCGGACTGTTCGTTACTGTTTTAACTTGTGAAACGTGAATTGCACAAAGTCTCGAATAAATAATGTATTTTTCTCCTTAAGATGTTTTTTTGCTTACAAAAGTGTCTGTTGTCGCCGTCTTTCTACTGACAATATAAGCTAATATTAATAGTTATGCAAGATGCAACATCTTTCATATGCAAAGAAACAGGATTGATAACGGATGCAGCATTGTGGGAAAAAATGGCTAAATAGTGAGCCACTCAGGATTTAGTCGGATCAATGGCACCCGTATTTTTACCTGAAGGTTGCCAGAGTGGTCCCTGTTGGCGTGTTCTCAGGTACTGTGATTTGAATATGAGGATTGTGAAACTTAGGTGCATTATCGTTTATGTCTTTAAGCCTGATGCGGACCTTGGCGTAGTCCAAATGTCGGGGATCACTACCAGTTACATCGTTATTATCTGATACCATTATTGTTAAATTGAATCCGTTACGTTGCGACGCCACCTCGTAGTCCAATTCCTAAAATGTATTGAATGGTTAGAACTAGAACGGAACTAGATTAGGCCACAAAATGCAACAATATGGCCCACTGCAATTAAGAAGTTCACAAATATTCTATTATCGAGACAACGTTTTGTTAAAATGTACGCAAGATGCTTCAGCTAGTATTGAAGGCGTAAAATATTAAAAGGAAAATTATGTTTTCTTGAGGAAATTGAGCTTCGGTCTGAAATAATGGCGAAACCGATACTTCAAAAGTATGACGACATGCAACGGTAGAAGGCAGTTTATAGCAAAGAGAAAAACTGACCTTTATAATTTTAAGAGATCCACTGCCATCAGGATTTGTAATCATGGTAAACTTGTCTGCTCCGAATGCATTTTCGACCACCTTGTACCGGAAACTGTTAGTTTCTGGTAAATCTCCATCGATGACACGTACATCTAGAATGGACTCTAAAGGGAGATCGTTGCCATTTGTCTCATCAATTTCCAACACCCTAAAAATGTAGATAACGGTTAGACACACTCAGCGGAATTAATGCTCCTGCGCGAAAAACCTAAATCTATGAGCCATTTTATCTTCCAATTGCAATTTTAAGTTTCGTTTTACAATTGATTCTATGATAACTTTAAAAAAAATTAGCTCTACAGTTTAAGTAAAGTGAAACGGAATAACATTGCATTCCTGTTTGTGTGTTCTTTATTGTGTGCTCGAGGGATACATTACGCTCCAAACCTCCTATACGTTGAAGGAGTTCCAACAACCAGTTCTCTCTATCAATTCCGCACTGGCGGAAGCGTTGGCCTTAGACAGCTAGTTCTAAAACTGTATCCATTTACAATGCTAAAAAAAGTCGTTCAACTATAAAGCTCGTCCATAGATCCCGATTAATCGAAAAACAAAAACGTGCGTATAATCGGTTCTGGTAGTCTAGTGGGAACATGAATGGCAGCCTTTGATCTTCAATGAAGAACATACCCGTTTGCTTCAAGTGAAACTCTGATTGCATTACATATTAGAAACTATTTGAAAAGCAGCCACAATAACGTCTGGAAAATCAAAGGAAGACATATGCTGAAACTCATCTTCAGAAAACGGGTCTCAATTTTTCAGCTGAAATGTCTAATGAATAAAGTACCGAAAGGCAAACAGCCTTGATTTTTACGTCCAGCCATTTTAGCCGTGGATTAAAAACTAGCAATGCAATTTTTAAAACGCTCATAAAGCAGTTAGCTTATGCCGCAACCAAGCGTTACGGCACACCCTCGACTTTATCGCTTATCTCCTTTCGGAAAGCTGTCTGTTCCATTTGCAACGTTTGAGCTTTTACGGCTACAAAAATGCCTTCCATTAACGTACTCGGAATAAGTTATAACTCGCACATATCTTAAAGGCGTTGTTTTTATAAGAAAATTCAGAGGAGGCAAGTCTATAGGGGTATGCGAACTATTCATTCCTTGATTTAACTTGCAACACACAATGTATTATATAATATGATTATTCTTTGTTGCTCGTATTGTCTTGAGACTAAAGCTTAAACGTGTTCAGCCTTGTTGATGTGTATTCACGTTTGATTGTCTGCGGCGCGTACTGGCAGGAGCGTTGTCGTGACAAATGTATGTACGTAGCTATACTAGAAATCTGACAAATACACGTGAAACAGATCTCCAACCTTTGACCGCACTTCTACGATCTCATTAAAGTCAACTGGAAATTGCAATAGAAGCTGCTTTAGCGGCGTGGGATTGCACTAGTGTTTGTTCGTAGAAAGGACACGCTCCGTATTGAATGAGCACGAGATAAATAAGGGGAAACGCTACGTATCCGTGCCTAATCTTCTTGCAGGCGAACGCCAGGTCTATTACTAGCATACAAACCTTTCAGCACTCTTACTTCAAGTAAAAGATTCTCGCCCAACCCTCGCAGTTGTACAAACCCTACAATTTTACCAATTAGCTATAGAGTGTTTTATTATTATTAGTTACTGAGTGCAGACGATATTCGAGGATGGGCATTTCTTATCTAATTAGCGAATCAGTACCAGCTGTCCTGGCAAAAGAACACTATTGTGATTAAGAGACACTATCGAACGTTGTAGATAATGAGAACAGTGAAGACGGCGATATATATATAATTACGTTAGGTTTTCCCGAAAATTGTAAGACATTGAGCATTTTGGACAGCAGTTAACATAGTAAATAGCAATCATTTTAGGTCATATAGAATAAATAGGTTCGTCAATTGATGTTTTTTTTTTACTAATTTTTAATTTTAATACCTAGACTAAGGACATTTATCATGGTGGCCTAACACGGACAGATCGTGGTAGAGAGGCACATTTTCGATTGTCAGTTAGATAGCAACTCACCATTCTTTTTTGACAAAATGCGGTGACATATCATTTTCGTCCTTGATCTGAATGGTAGCTGTGGCGGTCGCTTTGTGTGATGGGTCGCCATCAGAAGCTACCACCTATCGATGTGCAACCATCGATCTTTGTTAGTTCCCGACCTAAGTTGTCTACAGCTGATTATCTTTATATTATACCAGCAGAAATCAGTAAATGACTATTCTTCATGTTCATCTGCTGGTTATCCGATAGACGTTTCGAACTCAAAAGTAACGCTACGCAAGCTACAAACTATTTACTTTTAATTTATTTTAAATACACTAAAGATTTCTAGGTAGTTCTTGCAGGTAATAAAAACAGACTAAGCCTAAGAACCCTACTTGAGTTCAAAATCATCTTTATAGGTACTATTGCATGGCCAATGTTACCAGTTGTACCCGTAAACTGATTTCCTACTGGTGAATGCTGATATCACAATATTAGACCGCAGCAGAAGAGCTTTTAGGGTCATTGCCTTCAATCTAACAAAGGAATGAGACGTCCTATGGTGAGGACTCAGTATGTGTTGAGTAATTTTAGCTGCGTGTGTTTATTTCGTGTGCATTTGTTATTATTAGCTACGCTCTAGCAGAAAATACTTGCAAAGCCTTGATTAGATGGCTATATCAACCTATGTTTACCTTGCATCTGCAGCAGATGTCCTAAACGTTAAATGATACAAATAACTGGTAACAAAGCTACAACGCTTATACTATGGCACAGGGAGTGCGAGCACGTACACGCAAATGTATGCTATAAATCCCTTAAATGTAGGATCTAGATAAGAGACATAAACAGCTCCATCATATAAGTGCTTCAGGATTAAATTTTGTAAAGGATAGGAACCAACAACTGAATAGTCTGCAAAAAAAAAAAAAGATTTTTTATATCATTAAATAACTTCAGCAGTATAAAAGAAATAGAAATTGTTTGCTAGGAACGTGAATGGCAGATATGCAAACAGACTTCCGTTCGCTTGACTTGACATGAGTGGCACTACACCATGACGGTTAACCGCCCAGCACTGACTAAGCGAGCGGTGTAATTGAAATAGTGCAAAAAAGGCTTGGCCACTTTGGAGATGGGAACGGTTTTTAAGTAATCGTTCCACTGCTCATACCTTGCGACGTGTTTAGACTCGTAGGTACGTGAATAGGACCTACCCAGACATATGGCCTTTCGAATCTATAGAACATCAATCACCGTTACCACTAGCATTAGGTCTAGCTGATCCTTTCCTCCTGACGTATACATATACGCTTACCTCAGGATATTTAAACACTGTAACTACATAGCTTTAAATTTGCGTCCTATCAGCATTCTGCTATCAACATAAAAGCACTTACCTTTATTGAGTAACCAGAATTCCTCTCCCGATCCAGACAGCATACGGCCGTGGAAATCGTGCCCGTGTGCTCATCTATACGGAAAATGAGCTCCCCATTTTCATTCACCTAGATAGAAATATGTTTAGATTGCCGCAAGGAAAAATACCTCGGTTAAGTTATCTATTGCATCTATGTAGTTTCTACTAATGTCTTAATAGTAGTAAGAACCATAAAGTGCCTGTGTTGGTTAATGCCATTCTCGAAATATGTGACCATTACTTTTCTAGCTGGTACGTGCACGACAGCACTCGCATCACTAGTTTATCTCGTGCACTTTTTTGTGCATTATGATTCCGAAGCATCCGAGTGGGTTTCTCGGATCTCGGGCTGGAAACTGCTTAGCCGAACCCCGGGGCCGCAGCTAGATATTTCCCACATCTTATTCAAAGAAGCTAGCACCTCCGACCGGCCACTACCGCTGAGCTTCCGAGTAAAGGTACCTTTGCCGGAAGCCAAAAATGATACGCCTTCCGCTACTGGCGGCGGTATTACTGCCGCCAGAGGTAAATCAAGTGAGGCGCTAACGGAGGTCGCCGGCAAACACGCAGATAACATTTCCATGGTATAAACGGCCCCTGAAAGGCAACCATTCGGCTCTCGGGAAAGAAGAAAGGATGTCAGGAACGTCCTAACAGAAGTCGTGCTAGGTAGCTCAACAACGGCCGTCAGCTAACGTCACGTATATGTTTGAAACTAGATTCAAACCCACTGAACGTTTAACGTTGCTGGCAGCAGGCATCATGGCAACAACGCCACGCTAGGCCGGCATATCATTGTAATGCCAGCCGAAGCGATTAGAAAGGTAGACAGCGTATAAAAAACGCAAACAAAGCTAACAAAAAAAAAATAGCCAACTAGGGAAATGTCTCAAATTCATTTTTTTACGAGACAACAAATCTGTGTAGATGATGTAACGGCTGCTCCCACTCTGAGAAAAAAACATTTAAGCATCTATACCTATCATTAAATTCGTGAATAATTTGTTGGAATACGTGATATGATATGCACCCGATAAGCCTATCATTATTACGAGAACAAACAGGGATTTTTTTTAGCTAAAAAGGTTCGATTAACGTTTTACAGAAGTTTGATGTTTCTTATTTATTTTCTACCCAATTTCAGCCCCCCGTGTGTTATAAACGAAACAGTTAAAAAGACTACGAGATACTGAATTTATGCAACGTCATTTTTATATGAACAACAATATATACAAGTAACGGTCTTTACCTTTTTTCATAGAATCATGCTTGCGTTTCGTTTAAATATTGGTAGACTGTTATCCGTTTTGAATCAATAGATTAGGCAGCACGTACCTTTCTATTGGGACTAACCTGATTCTGTTCTATGGAGTATGTGATCCGGGCATTAGTGCCTTCATGCGGGTCATCGTATTCGAGCGCACGCATATTAAGAACAATCGGTGTGCCTCGGGGGGCGTTCTCGCTCACATTCCCATAGTAAACACTTTGAGGAAAGAAGGGCGCGTTGTCATTCAAATCTGCTCGAAAAATAGTGAGGAAACAATTCAGTTTTTATCGAACAAGATGAATCAACATCAGAAGTAGTATGTCGTGAAAGAGCTAATTAGCTTGAATAGAAGTATAATATCCGATTAAAATAGACAGATTTTACATCTTCAATACAACTTCTAACGGGAGTGCCGTTGTAAAATTCGAAACTTTTTCGTCACTAGTCAGTGCCAACGAAACAGTCGATTTAGAAGAATTAGCATGCCCGTTCGGATGATGCGTTTAGTAATAAATAATAAGTCTATTTTCCAAACGATATGAAGTTACCTCTTTTAAATTAGGCTACCTGTGAATGTTATGAAATTTAGGTTTAGAGTTGTTTTCGAAATTCTGCCGAGACTATTCATCTAATGGCAAACACTGAGTTACTAGGCAAGCACACAGTAGTGGCCCATAAAGCAGTTGTACTCGTTACGGCAAATTCTGCATAGTTTGCACACCTTCCTAGCCAGGGAAAGTTTGATATCTTCGTTTCACTGAAAACAGTAACTTGCTATCAATAAGTAGCAGCATCTAGTAAAACCGCGTCGATCATTGTTATATAATGAACAATTTACCTATCAGTAGCAGTCGCATATATTTTTGAGATTTATAATATCTATCATTAATGCAACAACAAAATCGTTTTTGGTGTTGTTGCTGCTGATCTAATCCGATCTCCTTAGTTCCAACGTCATCTAACGGGAGTGGACCAATCGAGATAATCTGTATTGTGCATTTCATGTAGAAACGTGCTCTATTTCCACGGCAATTCAAAATATTCATTCTCGGATAGGGGGAGACGAGACGAATTAGAAAACTTAAAACTTACCTTTCAGAATAACGTATACGTTGGCGCTGCCAAGCCTTTCATGTGAACGTGCGTCCTCAGCGTATACGGTAAATGAATACTCAGCCTGGCCTTCAGGAAAGTCGCGGTCCAAGCTTCTGAGGACAAACACTTCACCTACATAATCACCATAGGCAAGCACACGTTGGTGGAAATGTTCAATAAAACTAGGACCCTGGTTGAAAAACCGAACTTAAAATTAGCAATTGCCTTAACTAGTAGTTAGATTTCGTTCATGCACTTGATTAGAAAACATATGGGGTTTACTTATTTGACTTAGAAGAATGCATGAACGAATACTATAACTATAATATTTGAAGAGATGTTTCCAAAACAGCCAGCATAATGTCTATCTTAGCGGTGTCTGATACGACCTGAGGTACTCCTATTTAATAGTACGATAGAATCCATACACGTAAATAAAAACTCCGTAGGCGAAGTCAACGTGAACCGTTGTGTCTGAATTCGCTTTTTTCTTTTGGCAATTACTAACCCGTTGTAGTATTGATCGAAAATTTCTGCTTATCCTCTGCGCGATCAAAGGTACTCACGTCAGGTCCCTCCATCGAGTAAACGACTGGGCCAGCCACTCCATCAGGAGCAGTAACCTGAAGATCAATTTATTCAGCCATTGTTACGTCATATGTTGTCAGGCAGTCACTCGAATAGAGTAAGTTTTCTGGAAATTTTCATTCGGCAGGATTTTCAATTCACTTTTTGTACGTCCTAGCAAATAAAGATGTACAGTATATGTATTATACATAACTTACCAAACTCGACCGAAATTAGTGACACACAACCATTTACAAGATGGACAAAGTAAATACTTGCTCCGCCTCTGTAATAGTTAGAGCACTTCCAAACTGAACGTTAATACGATAATTATTTCTGTGAGATCTATTAGATGCTCTAGAAAAATCTGAGGTATCTGAAGATTTAATAAATATTCGATATTTTCAGTGAGAATTTGGAATATACGTCGTTTACTGTGGTAAAAATAGTTTTACTACAGTTATTTTCTATGCAGAAAATGGCTGAAGAGTGGACTAACGAAAAATGCACTTCGTTGCGTAAACGAGAACTATAGAAGTGAATACGCTTGTTTGAAATTACGGTTAAGCTCAAGTTAAAAACTCCGAAACGTCACACTACTAGAAAAACATTAACTTCAGAGGACATCTTAGAACATGGCTTGTTAATTAAGAAAAAAAACATCCCATAAGAATTCAGTAAGAAAATATTTGTTCAGATGGGCGTTTGCCCCCGGTGTATTGCTAGAATACATTGTTAGCAGTAGAAGTTTTATAAGGTAAACGGTATCGATACAGAAGATGCTTGTCGATGTATAAACCGTGTGTGCTTCACTACACAGATGAATATACAGGATGATTTGTAGACGCTCAACCAGTAAGTAACTTTATTAGTGTGCAAGTCTATTAATTTCAATACGCTGATTGTTATTTTGCTATCAATGAGGTTTCCTATCAACGAGATATTATAGAAATTGTGCTGCAAACACATGTTCATGTATATGTCTGTGTATGATGTGTACATAATATATAGTCGTTTGGTCTTGTGCAGCTTATGGCTTAAGGAACTTTAGCATGAGTAGGATTTACGATTGAGTAGGATATTAATAGTGTTTTTTATCTTTTTGCGGCTGCTACCGCTATGACGTCAAACTTTCAGCCTATGGAAAGCAAAAGAAAAAGAATATCTTGATCAATCCGTGTGACTTTTGCCGGTGTGTGCTTATTTCCCGACATATACATTTCAAGGACGGTAAATACTTGCGAATAGTCTCGCTTTATTTTATGAAAACGTTTTCGAGTCTTGTGGCATGTTTGCCATATCTGTAGGATTAGCAGTGGTTTCGTTTGTTAGTTTTGTGCGTGCTTTTAACAGTAGGCCATGCCCGCGCAACGCTGTGTCCACGTGTACCTGCTCTATATCACGTACACAGATAACATGACATTTAACTAACATATAAGATAACTAAGTTGAATAGATGGCATAAATTCATGAGGAGATTGTGTGTATGGTTTGCATGGTCGGAGAAATAATAGCGTACCTAACAACGCTAGCGCAGTGCCGCAAATATCTGAATGCATCCGATTGTGAGCACATTTATAAGTCACATGATGAACTGCGGCATCTATACTAGCCAGTCTTGTAAAAGCTCTCCTCACCGACGGATTGATCATCACAGACCAAACGGATCGATCTAAAAGAGCGAACAAAGGATTGAGGTCCAGCTTTGTGTCAACAAGACACTTAAATCTAACAATATCATTAGTAAATGATACACAGGGGTCCGGATTTGATCTGGATATGTGGTTCATCCGGTGATTCTAGTACTAGAGTCTATTCCATTTTTGGTTGTAACAACATAACGATGGTTAGAAGTAACAGGTTCTGATACGAATCTATAACGCAATCGTATAGCATCACATAGGTCGAATGGCTCTTACCTGTAGAATTTTTTGGGGCACGTCCCGATCATTTTCCTCAACAAGTTCGACATGATAGGTTGGAGGTCTGTCAGGCGCTCTTGTATAATGCTGGTCTTCGAGATCTTTGCTCCGGATAAAGTCTGATGTGAAGTCACCGATACTTCCACCCTCACTACCTCCTCCGGCACTCTATAATGCCATCGTAGGAAAGTTGTAGTAAACTGAGTGAGCACAGATGGCTTGCACTACATAAAACCTTCCTTGAATTAACAACATAGTTACACGCAATGTCATTTGAAAGCTAACTTAAATATTTAGAGGCACACCACAGACACAACCGTCACGAAAGGGCCTTTTGAATATCTACAACAATACCACGTGACGACCGTTTTCAGAAATTATCTCAAAAATATTGGATGGCAGAGTTGCCAAATTTTTTGATGTATCGAAATTTAATATGGATATCTTGGTAGCTTGGCAGCATAGGTACCTGCTTCTATCAAAAAAATCCAGGATGATGATAAGGGCCCCCTGAACAATGTGCCTCCTGGTATACGTAAGCTAAAGATGATGCCGTATATGAGCTTGTTGTAAATTTTGAAATAGAAACTGATTGTTGAAGTAGAAAAAGAAAATCGAAAGCTATGATTGTATCCAGAAGTCTCTCGGCACGTCTTTCTTTATTTATTACGAAAAGGATAGTGTAAACATTTAAAGTTCATCCTAAAGGAGTGTACTACAGCTACTTCTGTAATACACTCCTTTTATAATAAACAAATGATGCACATCAGCGTGATAAAAGCATGCCAGCATAATAGTATAGCCATGTGATTTAAAAGCGGTCATATATTAGATTTGATCACATGTCCCATGACTTGGATCGTTGTTCGGCGAAATGAATGCCACCCTACTAAAGGCCCGCAATTAATACGTACATAACTTAAGTTAATAAAACCCAACTTAATAAATTACAGCAGCACAGCTGATCGATTCTATAAAAAAAAAAAAAAAAAAGGTGAGCGTTTTTCTTGTCGACTAATAGCTTTCCATCGCCGAGCTATGAATTCATTATATCCCCTGGTATCGCGCCGAGAAACACGGTCGTACTGTTTAAAAGATAGGAGCTTCAATCATATGCGCCTTCACTTCTCACGATTAAGCCAAAATTATCAAGCCAATCTCGACGTTCAAATACAAAGTTCCCAAATTCGGTAAATAGTAGTTAGGATTGGGCGCACCCTCTTGTTATATGGAACCGATAGATGTGATTAACTATATATATATATATAGCCAGAGATAAATAACTTCTTCCACTTTACGGGCTTTTGTTTCTAGCACACATTCTTTTCCCTCTTTTATCTTCACAAAAAAGATTGAGTAAGATATGCGCGCCCACACGGTTTCGCTACGCCCTTGAATTTCCCAAATTTGTGTGTTTGAGACTGCTGTCTTTTATATGATATTAGAACCTATTTATTTTTTGTTTGTTGTGCTATCTCCTTGTTCCTGTAAGCTGTCTCCGGTCAGCCGGCCTTCATGCTGGTAAGCTTGACCAAAAGGCGGCAGGTAATCAAAAGAAACGGCATAATTCAAAAAGTCATAACCGGAAGTTTCCAGCGACCCGAAACGCCAATCTGCACAAGTTAGAGCAAAGAGTAAATCGTAATTGTTTCGTCGTTATTTTCGAAAAACGTTGCCACGCCTTTTTCCATTTGTTCTATACATAAAAATTTATATGCGTGTACAGGAAGGCAATACACGTAAAGAAAAATTAAATAAACCAAAAACGATACGCGCGCGCTTCCTATTCGATTTCTGCTATGAATATGTTTATAAAAATAAAACGACCGAACTCAACACTTGCGGTCAGGCTGATACAGGACCGACGGTTTACGTCTTGTATGCTTTTTTTCTGAATTCGCTCCTGACTGCAATGGCGGCGGGAGCAGCAGACACGTCAAGTCCTATCGCGCCGTAGTATAATAGAAAAAATATTGTTATTTGGCAGAAAGACTGAATGGACAACATGGAACGTTGCGAAACGGTGAACAGCCGAAGTAGGCAAGCGAACCGGTAGCTCGAAATCTTCATAGATCGAAGCCAAACAAAAAATCCGCTCCGATAAACATAGAGTAAAATCAGTGGTACAAAAAGGAGAGTAGAAACACCACTTACCCCGGATGATTCGCTAGACTGGAACGATGAGTGGTTTTGACGAGAATCTGCAAATGAGATGATTAAATGCAATAGGTTTTGGTAAGTAGACGAGTGTACCTCGATTTGTGTGACTGGTGAAGGCCGCCAGTTAGGGCGGAAGACATCCAGGGCTCATTGGTCCAACAGAGCGGCGACTGTGCTGGAGCCAAAAGCAAACTATTGTTTGATCGAGCCAGTACGGTTGATTGCGTGGGAGCGGGAAGGGTGGTGACTTCTCGCATCAGTAAACGATAGGTACAGCGCAAGCTCCGAAGCGTCTCGTTTGGCTTCGCGTCCTGGCAAGAACTCAAAAATAATATCAGGGACATTGGCAAAAATGAGGCGGGACCCAGCAGGCTAATAAAACACTGCTGCAATGACTGGAATTTGACCGTCTCCAGTAGAAATAGCTGCGTAGAAGAGACGACAGTCCGCCTGAGCAATATGTAATTGTCTGATATACCACGAATTAAAGCAGGGGGCGGAGCTGTATATAGATCGGAGAAGAAATCGTTGAAAAAAGAAAACCAGCTTGATACCAAAAAACGATTGCAAAAGAACAGATCCGTTATATATCTAAGTGTATGGTAAGACACAGTTGTAGATCCCGACATCTCTCTTCAACTTCCCCACCCATCCATAGCCCTCGTCAATGGCCTATCAACCGGCCGGAAGCAACACCTACTGCATGCCGGCGCTCTAACTCATAATCACTTCAATGAAAGGATACCATACGCATTCTAAATGCTACTTCCGTCACACGAAAAAATATCGGCAGACGGGGCAAAATCGTTTGGACGTGTATGAGGTGGATGAAGGGGTCTTTATAATAGCTATCGTACGTGGTAGTTTTGAACTGCAACGGCATTAAATGTAATAGCTTCGGAACTTTCTTTCTATAGAGGTTTTTTTTTTTTTTTTTTTTTTTTTTTTTATAGATAGCTTTTATAGAGGGATATGGGAAAGTCATATTGTTGATGAATAAAAGGATAGATATCTTGCACTTAGTCGGAGAAATTGGAAAGAAGGTTAATTCTAGTCGAATTATTGAAGTCATGTATTTCTCTATCCAATATAATTGATTAGAAAATGAGATTTATCAAGTGAGATGAGCGTAACAAGTATTACCACTCAATACACACACGACAAGCAATACGTATTATTGCATAGTAAATCTTGTACACAGTCTCTTTTGTCATTACAGTGATTTGTACCTGTAAAGGGGGACGAAGTGCCATCTTACTGCGGCTCCACTTCATACGCCATAATTCAGCCTGACTTGATTTTAAGCTAAGGTAAGGATTGTCGATGAATACTATATTGTCTATTATAATACTGTATGTCTCTATCTAGGCTGGGCTACATCATTATCATAGACATATAAAAACTGATGATACTGACAATTCGGATCGGAGTCGTGTCGGAACGCATCGTCGAACGGGTTGCTGGTGTCATCGAAGTCGTAGTGAAGAGCTGTTCCGTTGGCGAAGTAAGCGCCGCCGCCGACGCCGTTCATTCCGCCAAGTCCGTTTGTGTGAGCGGGCGGCTCGGTATCATTTGCATCGGTCAGCGGTCGCATGCCGTTCTTAGATACTAAAATATTATGATCCGAGTCAAACACAGGGACAGAACGATTAAAGTCTTGTGAAAGTAAACAGACGACACGAAGTAGCGTGGAAAGAAGATCGTCAATATCAACAATAGGACTAATAATAACAGATTAAAAGTATTACTAGTGATACTATACCGCTGGAAAGAACATCGATGTGTTCTGTAGTCAGTTTTGTCATCACAAGCTTCTATGTACGACTTGAGAGCCAAAGATGCTTTTCAGAAGGTGCAACGTAGGCACTGAAGGCGGTGCATTTGGATCGAATCTTAATGTTAACAGATAAAAACAAGGGCAATAAGGGAATGCTACGGGTTAATGGCTGCAATGGTATCTGGAGAAAATGCCGAATACGTTCAGCAAAGTCCCCTTTGTCAATCTCCAAAGCAATATCGAACAGTAATTCCAAGAACCTGTCTACATAGGAGGTACATGCAGGTTTAATTAAAAATAACCAACACTCAACAAATATATTTGATAAAATAATAACAGTCTCTCAGTACTACAAACCTAACATGCTAATAATACATTTCAAGGTCATGTATCTGGAAGAATATGTTTCCTTTTGTTTAATTATTTAGGACCATATAGTTGAAATAAGAGGATATTAGCGGCGACTCTGAATTCCTCGATACAGTTTTTTTTTCCTATCTCAGGCCACGTCTTCTTGCTCATGGCCGTGTGCCGCACTTAGGTCTATATAAACCTCACACGTGAGGTAATTCCACCAAAAAATGTATTCCTAATGGCCATGATATGAAAGCCGTAGTTACAGCCTGTTTATTTTCAACGATCAGATTTTATATCTGTGGTGGCCTAAGCTTGATCAAGTCGCGGCAATCGATTCGAATTAAAATGACGTTTTACGTTAGACTATTGGTGGAACTTGCATCCGCAGCAAAAGCCCATTGCATTATATGCCTTTTAGAACTTATAGCGTATCGGCGTCTGTGTCCGGAAAACTACATCTCAAGTGTAATACCAGTGGAGGCAATAGAAAGAGAAGCAAGATCCCTGTATTTGCACATATACGTATGTACATAGACACGCGTAAACACTCATGCTATCTCTGGCACTGCGCTGAACAATCAAAGATGCTCAATATCTGTCCCGCATAGGGGAGCAGGGATGAATACGGCAACAGCTAATGCACAAAAAGGCTTGCTCTGACGCCGCAGATGTGTACGGCAGGCCATACTGGGCATTATAAATCAGGCTGTAAAGAGCAAACATATCCGCGTCATCTTTCGACCACCGTTCTTTGGCCTTAGTAGTTAACATCTAGATATGACTACAACGATGGTACGGCAAGGCCTCCTAGTTCTAACATCGAGAACATATGAAATAGATAGCGGCTTTCCGAGGGCCGTTTTTGGCCTGTCACATATATTTTTAGTCAACATATATTTACGCAGCAGCAATTCAACGCCTCCTTCAGAGACAGTTCACTCTGAGTCAAGTGAAGGAGGCTAGGGGTCCCTAGCGAATATGCGTTAAGCGTAACGGAAATTGGATAGTAAGCTTTGCCAAAATTGTCCTAAATTGTAAAACTGGGATATTAGTTACAACACTGTCGGACTGTGAGAGTTTTTTCTTTTAGCAAGGATGACATCATGAAATGGATGATACCACTAATACAAGTATAGAAAAACGCCAGCGTTACTGCTGTGATTAGTGGACATCCATAGATCAGGCGTACAACGCTAATTAATAATGCCTTATGTTAATGTTGAAGTACGCAAGCTTTTGTTGTGTAAACGTCCAATATATTGAAAGGTGTTGAATCTGTGGATGAGTATGGCTCCACTTGAACGATGTGCATATCCAGCTTGGAAATGCCAAAGCAATCGGCTATAAATAAAAATCTTATTCAATCTAATAGGCAATCTATTATCCGTTAATTATTTGAATGATGTACAGATGGAGTAGCATTTGTCTATCTTGATGATCGATATAAAACTGCCGAGATGATCCAACATTTAAGCTAGCTTAAAAAATGGCACAGCACATATATATGTCGTATATTACCTGACGGGAGGGAGTTCCTTGCATAATAACTTTGTTTTCCAAGCAGCCGCTGAAAGAATGGCCTCAGCACCGATGGACGAACATCGAATCACCATAGCAATCTAATCTGTTCTTTGGCAAAGGTCCAAAAGTCCTTGCCCTTCTCAAACACTGGCGCGTTTTTATTTGCGCCCGTTTTTTCCTTTAAGATTTCATCCATGCTAACTAGCTTTCGCAATTAACGTACAGTCAGCAAGCTCCATTGCAATAAATCGAATGCCCCACATTATCATTTAGCCCTCTGTCCTAATCCGGTCGGCTAGGTCGGTGCGGTGTCTAGGTGGGGCAATTCAGTTGACATAAACAAAACAGATAAATCAAGTCATCATGAGTTGATTGATGCATGTGACAATATATTTACCAAATAATTCGCGCTTATATTTTTCCCCGTTATACATGGTTTATTGGCCCTCAGTAAATCAGGTGCGCCATTGTCAAACTACGTTAGACAAAAACACTCTGTGAATAGAAAAATCGAACACTTGTTTCACAGCAAGGCTATTTACTGTCGTGACATGTCCTTTCTGATATGGTACCTATGTACCCAAATCGTGGCAGACGCTCTTTATTTATATTTAACCGCAGCAGGGTTCCTTGCCGGTTCGGGAAGACCGCGCCACATACATCAGAGGAGAAAAAATGCTACAATGACGAAACTGTTTGAGGCTCGGGATATTATATTATAGCAAATAACCGTTTTTCATCTTCAACGACTGCACACTAACGTTGTTCCAAGCTGTTTAGACAGATTTCATAAGGAATAGTTTGTCTTTATCCTTCTCAAAATAAGGCGTGTTTCTGCTATTAGACGCTGCCAAAAATCGAAATAAATTTTAGAAAATATTAAATTAAATAAGATCGCTTGATTGTGTGTTAGTTAGATAGCTGAAAATAAGCTCTCGAATTTGTGATTTCGGAGATGAATACTTCATCCGTCGAGCTACAGAAGCCGATCGCCGTTATATGGAATAAAGAAAACAACAATACTTTAAGATTACGCAGTACAATATGCCCACTGCACACGGGACAGTAAAGGAAAGCAAATGCGGCTGCGCTGAGGTGGCCTATTCATGTTCTATTTTCCGCCTAAAAACCTTCTAGGCATAAGATTTGCAAAAAACGCGGTCATGAAAATAACTAAAATAAAATAAATTTATTATTTTCTCACGAATCTTAATAATGTTTGTGAAAATATTACACTAGTTAGAGTGATCACAAAATCTAAATAGTTTTTTTTTGGCACTGAAACACAGATAGTGTTGTGTATCGAATTATTTTACACTGACGCTTTTATATTGTATCGTACGCCTTCATTTGTTCCAAGGTCCTGCTGACGCCTGTTTGTTACCTAAGGATATTTCGAAGAGATGCGGGCGGAATAAGCCGTGTCTGCAGCAAGAAAAAGAACAATCAACTACCAATAGCAGAAGCTAACAATTTTATTTTTTTGCTTTAAGGAGCCGATCGGCGAAATGTTAGTCTAAACGGCAGTCCTGCTGATTTCGATGCATTGTGCTTTCTGTTCTTAGAAACTCGTCCTTAACAGCTAGCCGTAAAAAATCTAGACGGCAGTAAATTTATTCCAGATTTAACCTATAAGCTTTTTGTGAGCCTTTACTTTATCAACTGGTCGGATTGGTATCCCATCCTCTGACTGGAAAGTTTTCTAGATCAATCTCTAATTTAGCTAAAAGACAAAAAATCATAACCAGTGCCTTTTATGTATGAATGAAGCACGACACTTCCTATGGTTCAGCGGTTTGACGGGTTCTTTGGAACGCCATGTACGTTACGCGCTCACTCGTTGTTCTACTAGCCTTTCGAAGCTTCTATGTTCATTCCAATTTTTATTCCTTTTATACTAAACGATTTGTTCACGACATCTATATACTGCTTCATTGCGTGCCCTTCTACGCTATATAATTCTTCCGGCGGACGTTCGCTAGAAATTAAGTTTGCCTTTTCTAAGACATCCAAACAGTCTTTTGTCGAACGAGGCAGTACTATACATTACCCATCCAAATACCCTAAGCGTGTCGTATACAAGCTTCTGCTTAATGTCTTCCGTGCCAGAATGTCAATAGCAGTTAAGTATTGCATCAATTCAATTATATAAAAGCCATATCAAGATATAAAAATAAAAAGTCGATAGAAAATATAGTAGCTAACCAAACTCTCCGGGTTGGAAGCAAGATGGTCGGTTGCCCTGGTCGAATGATACTGCAGCCAGTAACCAAAAATAAGGAAAATGGCCAAGCAACATAAAAACACCGCTTACTGAGGACCATACGCATCGAACATCTTTACAAGCCTGTAGGAACGAAAGGCAACTCGAATCCTGACGCTACGATGCTAATTAGTACGAGTAATGTTGATCAATTTGCACACATTCGCTAAATGCTGCCCCTAAGAAGAGGAAATGCCTAGGTCGTTTTGAATCACATCTTTTTAAGTGTTAGTTTGTTTTTCATTTAATGCACGGGACCAATGACGCCTGCATTCGAAAAAATATTCTTGTTTTACTGTTGTCTCGTAATCTCCGATGTGATGAATTCCAAACCACTTACGTAGAGCCTCTTGTCTGCTACTGGCCACTCAGCGGTCTGATCTAGTTACCGCTAGAAGAGACCGGTGGGTGAGAATCACTATTGCCTTCTGTAACAGAACCAGTTGAAAGTATTGCGCACGGTACAACATCGATTGGAAGTCGCGTCAACGTGAACCGTATTGATGACCCGTCCAGCTGATGTCATTACTAAGCAGAAAAAAAAAAAGCTTCCTCAATACACTCTTAACGACAAAATGGAACGTACAGTCTTACCAGCACGTTACACCGTATTTACTCAGCGGTGACTTTCTTCTTGTGCGTACTTCATTGAAGCCTTTGGGAATCATCAGTAGTCAGTTGTCATCGTCG